TTTTTTGAAATGAACCTTACAGGTATTTAGTTATTTTCAAAGACTTAATTATATATTAGATTAAAAAATATTTTTGAAAACAACTCATTAAATGTTTAAAAAACGAAAATTATGTCCTTTCTCTTTAAGGTATCCGACTACTTATGACAACTTTTTTTGAAAAAATGGAGATATGGGGATTTTTTTTTTGTGATTTTTAGAATTACTTAGTATATCTTAAGATAAAAATCCTAAAATTGAAAACAGAAAAAAAAATTTATTATTATTAAAATGGAAAAAATTGGTGAAAACGTACAAAAAATTACATAAACGAGGCCCACTCCGTACAAAAATTTTATGCACAAATTCTCAATTTTTCAATTTTGATGTGTTGCTTTGTTATTCATGTTTGAAATGACCCTCAAGATAAGAGATATTTTAATTTTTACAAAAACTAGAGAACTTTATCATAGCGATTATATAAAATTGCTTAAAAAACTGTGATTATAATCATATAAACGACAGTAACTTTTGAAATAAAACAGTGATTGATAAATCTGAAGGTGAAAACACTTCTACTGTTATACAAAACATACAAAAAAAGAAGAAAAATTTCAGCAAATTATTTTCCAAACTTTTTGAGCAATCGCTGTCCCCGTTTGAGCTTTTCGAAGAAAAACACATTTCGAGCAAAACGCATTTTAAGTCTGACATCTTGTGTAAAGTTATGGCATCTGCTTTTACTAAAACACTTGTAAATTTTGTTCTAGTGAATGAAAAATAATAAACTTGGTACTTTTATTAAGCTAATAAGATGGCCTATAAAATAAAATCATTTAAAAAATTTGTCAATTTTTGAAAAAATTCATGATTTTAGGGTAGTCGAATACCTTAAGAACATATTTATTTAATATTCACATTTATTTTGCCAAAGGTAGGTATTCAACATCATATTTTTAAAAAAACTGGTCCTCAATTCTGAGAGAGAATAACGACTTTTAACTATCATTTTTTAAAAATATTTGCTTAACATTTGTCTCGAAACCTCATTTTCTTAAATTTTAATAAGTTAAAAACACAGATTCACTAATAAAAGGGTATTACGGAAATTCGCGTTGCTGTATATTTAAAATAACTGGATACTAATTTTTTGAAGGAAAAGAAATTTGATTATTAAAATGAAAAACTAAATTATTTAAAATAGCTAATTAGCCATTAACACTTTTCTTAAAATGATACGTAATTTCCTCATATTAAACTTATTCATTTCCTTTTGTAAAAAAAAAATCCTATTTTTTTTCATTCTACAATGATTCTCAAAGCCATGCTTTTAAATTCGTTTTGGCAAAATATTTATCTTGGATCTCTTAAAATTACAGATTCTTTGGGAAAATACTTCTAATTATACGCATTAAATGAAAGCATTATATAGGCTATAAAAATGTAGGAAATGAATTTTTCGTTTTTTTTCTCTGCAGATCTTCTACATTTTCAATCTTAGTTCCTTATGAGGTAAAAAAAAAATCCAAGTTGCTTTTATGCAAACATTTCCTGTTTTAATTAATACGAATTGTAAATTATCGCTATTTAAAAACTCTTAGTGTTTCAGCCAATTCGGATATAAGTCAGTACTTATCTATTACACACACACACACTCCATGGAAATTAATAAGAATTCAAACATAAATTGTAAAAAAGATACTGGTCGTATTTATGTAGGCAGCGAATCTATTATTATTTGCTTTGCGTTTAATTGGTCATACAATAAAATTAATTTAGACTATTATTTAATTATAGGTATTGGCAAAATATAGCAAAGCTTGCCTTTCTCACGAATGCTTGCACATTTCAAATAGTTTTTCTGAGGGCTTAGAATCATTTTACTTTGCAGAATTTTCGAGCTCACTAAAAGAGTCCAAAAGAATTTTTAATTTATCCTAAAGGAATTATCCCTTTATTTAAGTTTATTTATTTTTTTTAAGAAATTAGAAACGGATTGCTTGTTGATTAAAGTCGCTTATAGAAACTATATGGAGGTTATTTGGAACGGGTCTCTTGATTTTGAACCAAACTGTCAAGGGAGACGAAGACGGCAACTGAGGCGACACCCGCTTCCCAAAACCTTCTGCACCATTCCATCGTAAGGACTTAGAGCCTCTATAGATTTTTTGTGAATTACCACCTCTATACGACAGATCTTTAATGGTATCGCGTCTTGAATCCTGTAATTGAGAAATGGAATGAAAGCAATTGAATTTTTTTAAGGGCCAATTTCGCTTAATTCTTTATCTACCGCATTATGATTTACTGCAGTTTTTTTCTTGGAATATTTTCTTTCGAATCACTACATTGAAAATTAAGTGATATACATAAACAAAATACTCAACTTTGGGAAATTTAATCGGTTAGAGCTAATTAATTAATTAAAGATATTTAACTGTAAAATTAATTATATGTCCACTGTTCACTTAAAATAAATGATCAAATCGTTTTCTATGGTCTCCATTAACATACAAAAAAAAATAGTGTGTGTATGTACTTATGTACGCACGTAAGAAGTTATACTTCTTTGGCCTAACAAGATTAAAATCTTTCTAAAAATCTTTAGCAGGGCAAGCTGGGTCAAGGACGAGCAGAGGTGAACGATACTAACCTTCAGTCAATCGGACCAGCCAAGCCTGAGATAATCACGATTTAAATAAATTTAAACACCCCCACACAGGGACAACAGGACCAATAACATGGGGGGGGGGGGTACAGACTGTATTTGGAGATGAAGTGAACCGAATGTGATACCTGAGACTTCATATGGAATGTCTCGGCGGGAAGAATCGTTCCTGAGAAAATTAAGACATCCGCCTGAAGAGCCCCCGAGTTATGACCATTTTAAAATAATTAAAACATTTAAAATAAATAAAATAGAAGCAGAGCACCCAGCAACTCGAACCTAGGACTGGTTGTGAGTGAACACAAGAAGAATCCATTAGAACCGGTCCGGAGTCTGTAGTTGCAAATGTTGCTAGTTCGGGAAAGGAAAACGAAACTAACTCCCCTGGGGGGGGGAATAGCTGTGACGTAAATGGTCACGTACAACCCAACGATACACAAAGTAGTAGGTGATCCCAAAGTTTCATCCTTCTATCTCTGTAATATCGTTACGTCATCAAAAGATCGAACCCCATAGGAATAGCATAGGGATTCTCTAATTTTAGTGATAATACTCCCCCTAAGCCCACTATCTACACACGAATTATAACAGATGAAACAGCTCAACGAGGAGAACCTATGGTCCAAGTTTCATTAAAGAATCTCAAAACTCCTCAGAGCTATGCGGGATTTAAGAAAATTAAAACTAAAATTATTTTAGAATGTTAAATATGGGTAAAGAAATGGGGCTATGGTCCTGAAAAAATATATGTAGGATACTCATAGGAAGAACAATCGAATCCAGCCTGTGCGGTCGACCAAGGTGGCATAGGATACGAGTTATTTCTGGGGAAGCCCTGTACGGGGGGGAAGGGGCCAATTCCACGTAAGGCTCGCGCTAATAAGAAAATATGGTGAACCTCCAAAAATCAAGTTCTAAGCTCAATTCCTTGGGGGGGGGGATTTTTCCAGTCCCCATAGGATTAACATGGGAACATGATATTATAGTGCTTAAGCCCTCCCCATGCCTACACAAAGGGATATTGAAGAAGATGACTGGATGGGTCTCGACAAGTAGAACACTTGGTTCAAATCTCAAGTCCGACACTCGAACAAGAGCCAAAATATTGTGAATTTAAGCAAATTTAAAAAGTTTAAGACAATTAAAAACTATGAAAGAAATAGCCCTATAAGCATGAAATTATAATAACTGGAAGAGCAGATAGAGAGGGATCGAATGAGCCAGATCCGAATGGACTGTGAGGCTCGGGTGACGAGATATTGGCCAAAAAGCTGTAGAGGGAGGGAATGCACAGGGGAGATGCGCGTCCCAACAGATATAGTTTATAACAATAGTTTTTATGATCTCCCAAATAACAGTCCCATAGCACCAAAAAAGTGGCATAATATTATACAACGGTGTGGGCGCGCATCGGTGTCGTGAAGGTTTACGCGTGCATCCGTGACGATGTAAGCGCGCATCGTAAAAATTTACCCTCATCCTTTTTCCTTAAGTCCCCAAAAGAAGTATAACTAATATAGTAAAGAAGTATTTTCTTGAGAATTTCGAAGGCGGGAATGTTCTGTCCCATTCTACATATTTCTAGACATAGCATTTTCGTATCCCTTCCTACGGAACGCAAAGCAAAGGCTTGCTGACACAGGGTGTATAGCTCAGTGGTAGAGCATTCGTCTGCAGATCGAGAGATTCCCGAATGAAACCTGGGTGCCCCTTTCTTCAGGGAAGTGAAGAGAAATGTTT